AAGTCAGAGAGCGAGATACAGAAAGAGAGAGACAATGTTGACTATGACAATCTTTATTCATCTCGCAGGAAGAAATTTGTCTTGGTCGTTAAAAATGGCAGTAGACATAACAAAGGCTAGGTGCATTCACGCATACAAACTAAACTCACAACAAGAAATGACATTAGTACAACCCACTGCGTAAATCTCTCTCTCTGTCTCTCTCTCTCTGTCTCTCTCTCTCATTTGTAGCACTGTGTCTTCAGTAACCTCACTGCAATTGGTATGAGAATTTCTATATCTGTCTGTTCTTGCTTTTTTGGAAATGTATCGTTTGCTGCGGGTCGATAGTTGATATTCCGATGTCAGTGGGTGGCTATGGTCACTAAGCAGAGAGAGAGAGAGAGAGAGAGAGAGAGAGAGAGAGAGAGAGAGAGAGAGAGACAGACAGAGACAGACAGACAGACAGACAGAGACAGAGGGGGGGGGGGGGGGGGGAGGGGGGTGTAAGACCATGTCAAACAATCTTTTCTGTTGTGTTTGAAATATGATGTGTGTTGAATTTGAACAGACACTGTTGAATTTGAATTTGATAGGCCTAGACCTACACTCTATTGTTAGGCTACACTACAATTTATAGCGTTATTTTGGTAATTTGAGCTTATAATTCCTTGTAAAAAAAATACTAGTACTAGATCTTAAGGCCCAGTACACGTAACAATAAATATTTCATTATTTAGTTGATCGTCAAGGGTGAAGTTGTGCATCAAGGTCACTCGGTGCATTGCACCTGTCTATCTACAGTCAAGTCATAGCTTCCGGTTCTACACACAACACGGTAGGCCTACAGTATGGCCACCCTTTTCTTAAGACACTGTTAGCTGCTAAATCAAAAGGTACAGGGGAAAGGGGAGAGGGGGGCCTCTCGTGATCTAGAGGTACAGTGTTCGCCTTTCATTCTTCATTCGGGGTGTCTACGTACACGGTAACCGGGCACCTAGCCTCAGTGTCTACGTACACAGTAATCCGCAACCGGGCACAGAGTCTCGAAGTGTCATGTACACGGTAACCGGGAACATGTAGCCTCAATATCTACGTACACAGTAACTGGCAACCGGGCATGTAGTCTCAGTGTCACCAGAGACTATATAATTACGAAGTGACTATTCTGACTCGAGTCCGAATATGAAAAAATGTTATTCGGACTCGAATAAAGACGACCAAATAATTAAATACTCTCTGATGTCACGTACACGGTAACCGGGCAGTTCAGAACTCCAAGTTCAGTTTCTGTCATCCGGTGTTGCCTTCATCCCCACCCCTCCCCCAACTGTACCTTTAAAAAAAATCAATAATCCCCCCGCCCCCAATCCCATTCCGTCCTATACTTTGCAGCACACCACAGAATTCTAGCACACAGACTTTGAATGAACTTTGGTGACCCCAACCGGTACTCACAATGTGATGCACACGCACAGGTTCACTGACCTGTCACGATGGCGAGCCCGACAAGACGCTTGTGTATGACTTTCTTTTTTTTTCAGCAAGTGACAGCACAGGACAAGTACAGCTAGACAGGTTGGCTAGCCGTACTTATTCTTAATATGATGGCTAGACTGACCATAAAAAATAGGCCTACTAAATTGTAAATATAAATTTTTAGTTTGCAGTACCTAAAGTATTTGTATTAGAGACAAAACCAGGTGCCTTAAAAAAAATGACAGTGCATTTTATTATAAACCTCCTGTTTTCTAATGTTGATAGGGCCTAAGATAAGTACGGCTAGACTTCTTGGCTAGCCGTACTTAAGTACGGGTAGACAGCCGTACTTAAGGACAGCTAGACTGGCAGTCTAGCCGTACTTTTAAAGTACAGCTAGCCACTTCGTTGATTTATTTTCATTCCGGTTACTGTGTATGTAGATAAGCTGAGACTAGGTGCGCGGTTACCGTGTACATATAGATACAAAGACTAGGTGAGACTAGGTGCCTGGTTACCGTGTACGTAGATCCTGAGACAAGGACTAGGTGCCTGGTTACCGTGTACTGTAGACACTCCGTCATTGTAACGAGCGACCACTATCTAAGAGACAGTAGAATTGAGGGCTTGGGGTATATGTATATAGGGGCAGGGGTAGGGGTAAGGGTAGGGGTAGGGGTAGGGGTAGGGGTAGGGTTAGTGTTAGGGTTAGGGTTAGGTCTAGGCCTCTTCTTTATTGTGTTTGATGGGTTGGTCGCTCGTTCCGGAAGTTCTTCCCTAGTCCTAGGGCCTAGGGAAATAAAAGGCAAGGCAGGTGAAGGTTGAAGGTAACCCTAGGGCCAAGGTAGGGCCCTAGATCTAGATCTAGAATCTAGATCTAGATCTAGATCTAGGATCTAGCTCTCTAGATAAGATAAAGATAAAAATACGAACGGTTTTAGCAGCAGGTAACGCAGGTGCCAATACAATTTCGTCAGTTCAAAAAATGTATCAAACAAGCTATTGAATCCAAGCACGTGCTGTCGACGGGAAAATGAAAACAAAACAACACACCTTTTTTGTCCCTCACGTAAACGCAGAAGAGGTACAGGAAGTAGGAAGTTTTTAGTTTCGATTTTAGATAGTAAGTAGTAGTTCCGGGGCATAGTTCTTCATTGTCTATATTACAATGAAAAGATTATTTTCCTTTTTCTTCAATACAATGCTATTAACTTTATTGAATATTGAATGTAAAGTAGTTTTTCTACATAATGTTGCAAATTTTTGAATATATTTATGTGGTATCTCATTGACTGTGAAATTTACTTTTTACTTGGCTAAATGCTCCCCTACTGCTAGTATAACCTTTCACCTCTGATCTATAAACTTGAAAGAAATGGCGGCTTATTCGGTGCCTGCTGGTGTTTGCACCAATTACTTCAATATTGACGATATTTTAGCGAGCCAAGAGAAAGTTCCTTGTGTTTTTAACGCTAAAGTGTCGGCACTGGGTACGTATTTCTTTCTGATTTTGGCTTTCCAATGTGTTGATGCATACTCTCTAGATCTAGAATCTAGATCTGGACATAAGATGTGAGAAGTTTCTTGTTTGGGTATGGATGATCATTATTAATTGGTGATTTTGTAGTTTCGTTCGTTAAAGTCAAGAGTAGGGGGGTTTCAGGGTGGGAAGGTGGGGGGGGGGGGGGGTTCCCTGAATTTTATCCTAATTTGATGTTTTGCATCCCTGCTCTTAGCCTAATTCAAATAGTGTTTGGTCTTCAAGACCAAGACTTCTGGATTTCTTCTCTGGATGTAAACAAATGGATCGTGGACTTTAACGAACGGAACTACAAGATCACCCATTAATTAATTGTTGTGAATTCATTGTTATTAAATAAACATTGAGAACTGAGAAAATACAGGTGATACAGTGGGCGTGGGCCTGTGTAGAATTCGGGTTCAACGCAGTCGTCGGGCCTGACCTTCAATTTCGTTGAATCCGAGTGTCCTTTGCAGCAAATATGAGGGTTTTGTGTAAGCATGAAGTGGTCAATGCGCCGGTCAATTGATCGCAGATCGGAAGCTATTCTCTGGCGTCACGCGGTTCTAGAAGAAGGCCACAAACGCACACAAACTCAAGCAGACTGACACGCGCACACTTGAGCTGGGTGAATGCTTATCACGCTGGGCCCGAATTCAACAGGATGATGCACGGCGCGTGTGCACTGAGCCAGGGGTCAGACTGACGAAGGGCCAGAACGAAGGCGAGGTGCCGAAATAGGCTTATCAGGCGACATAATCCCAGCCCCCGCAGGACGAGGGTTAATCTAGATCTAGAAAATCTAGATAGATCTACATTCCTACACTTAAAAAGTGTCAAAATGATGACATTTATGTGAGGCATTGTGGTGGAATTGTACCTACTATAACCGATTGGGCTCCAATGATGTCCTGGTATAAATTGCCAATAACTTTTAGGAGGGGAGGGGGGCTACACCCTCAAAGTCCCGATTCGGCTCAAAGTCATAGAATTTGAGTTGTAGACATACGGAGCATGTTGTCACCACCATATCGTCATAAAGTCAATATTTTATTTTTCTTTATCGGCCGTTTTCTCGAAACGCAATTTTTCTCTATAATTTTTTTTATAAATAACTCCACTACTTTTAATCCAATCTTCATGAAATTTTCACAGAATGAAGAGAAGATGTAATACTAGAAATTCTTCTGTTGAATTTTTTATATGGAATAGTTTTTTTGTTGATGGTGTCTGGAGTGTGAATTTTCATGAATTTTTTGCAAACTTGATATTACCTGAGGCAAAAAAATTCAATAAAAATTGTCTAATTCGTTTTGGAAAAAATCAACCGACAAATTTTTAGATTCAATGTTTGCTAACATGTGTGCAAAAAAAGAAATCAATTTCCATTAACGATAAGTGCGGTATTCATTACGTAAGA